TTCAAGCATGACCAATAAAATGAGGGACCGCGAAAATTGCCCATTGCCCCACTAACAGTGCGAAAATCTGACGATTATTCTTTCGGACTAAAAATTGGCCAATAAATGAACCGTCTATGGCCTGCATAAATCTTTTGTGAATTCCACACACTCTGCACTGAGACTTCATCCTGCCCTTTTCCTTTTAGCTTTAATATGAGGACATGGATAGGCATGCCCCCCCCTCCCCCACCCTCCCCTTTTGGAGCATAACATGTTAATTGGTATCTGTCTTTGTTTTATGACACTCTAGTGTACCCAAATAGGTGCAGCCAATCACTATATATACTGTGTCAATCTAGAGAGTGCAGCAATATTCCTGAGCCATCAGTCTAGCATCGTAATTAGTATAGATTCAGGATCCACTCTGGCTTCTATTATTAGGAGAAGATTGCTATTACAAGTATGTGGAACTTCATCTGCCTCCGCTATTGGCTAATACAAAAATGGCAAAACGCTGCACAAACGCATGACAAAGTGCCTGAAAAAAACATGCAAAAATGCAACGTTCAGGTGTGAATGCAGCCTTACATCTGACTCCTCCTTGTGAATAAGCAAGGCATGGCAGTACTGTGAAATGGATCCCGTAGCCTCTTGGGATGTGTGATGTCTCTGGAGGCTGTGGGAGGAGGGTGGACTGCGGGCCATGCAGATGACGTTCTCACCTAAGCGAGTATTGGGGAAGTGTCCAGGTACCTGTCCAAAAGAAAAAAATGGAACCTGCTTCCTGAAAAGAAGAAAAAAAGCTAATTTGTTGGAGGTTCAGGGGGGAAAGAGGGAGGAGGAGGATGAGTGGTACTCTCAGTTTTTCATGAGGGTCTACCGTAAAGCAGAACAGAAGACCAAACTTTTTTTTTTTTCTTCATTTTTGATAGTAAAGCTGGCCATGGAGAAATAGAATTTCAAACGAAAATTTTTAGGAAAATTTGTACAAACTTTCTCAGAACATTCAAATGTCGTTTGAAAGATTTTGTTTGTTTTTAACATTTGATTTTGGAATGAATGGACTTTCCAGAGCAAAAACTACAAATACTGTTAGACATTCATTCAGTTGGGAAAATTTTCCGTCAATGCGGTTGACAATAAACATTGATTTCCACTAATTAGGAAAATTCACAAACTTTCTTGGACCATTCTTTTTCTGAGTTATAACCTTTTGTCAGTTTTTTGCCATCTGAGTCTGAATTGAGTAGATTTCCCTTCACTTCCTGTCCTATACTCACATTAAAGCGGAACTAGCGCCTCCTATCCTTTTCATCCAAGGAAGCTGCCATCCAAAGCTGGGTACACACAAAGAAACTCAGAAGTAAAATTCTGTATGAGAAATGATCGTTCGATTTTCATATAGTGTGTTCATAGGGTTGTCACCTCATCCCTTTAAAACCGAACAAACACAGGTTCTGAGGCTAATTTAATGCAGATAATGCAGGCCATATATGGTTCGCATTACAAACTATTTTTAGTTCGAAAATCAAAAACGTAGTTTGCTCGGTAATCCGATGGTGCCATCAATGATTTTGAAAATCGGCCGACCAAGTCATAGAGTTCACCCCATATAACAGGCAAAACTTCTGTTCCTTCCAGGTCACGGCTCATGCGCATATTCATTTCAGAAAAACGATCGTACGATTTGACCATCAAATCAAAAATCGGTCGTTTTTTCATGAATTTTCCAACATGCCCGATCACCGAAAAGGGGAGGAACCACGAAAATTGGCTGGTGCCATTGAGTCACTAACAGAGCGAAAATCGGCCGATTATTCTTAGGTCTGATTTTCAAACAAAAAATCGGTTGAATTTCGACCCATGTATGGCTGGCCTAAGGCACTAAGTGAGTTTAATGACCACCTTAATCAGCCACAGGACCTGTGTAATGACTGTTTCGGTTTTAAAAGGATGAGGTGGCAACCCTATGTGTACACCACTTTCAACATCCATTTCAGACTTTCCAAATTAAATTTCCCAAGGGACAAACTAAATTTTTCTTGTACCAACGATTTTTGTGTACATGTACTGTATACTGTTTTCGTACAAGAAAAGTCAGATACAAAAGACAGCGCATCATCAGAAACCATAAGCAATCTACACTACAACGTTTCTATGTAAAAAAAAAACAAAAAAAAAAAACCGCCTGTCTAAAAATTTTTGTAGAATTAGCACCATCCTCGGGTTCGACTTGCTGTGAAACATTGAGGAAAACCAGGCGATCATTTGCCCAATTTTCTTACAGTATGTATCCAGCTTTAGCCTCTGTTTGATCTGCAATTGCCACAGTGCTGCACATGTCACCAGTCATGACACCAGCCATTTGATGGTTTGACAGTTCGATTAAGAGCACAAGCAAATGTGACAACCTTCCCAAAATGCCGGGAATGTAGCTGCTTTTTTGAAACTGGGTTTAGTTCTGTTTTAAATATTTAGCAATCACCAGAAGCCATGTCCAGATTGGAAATTCCCCTCTATTCCTGTACTAGTGACCACCAGATTTGGAAATGTCTTTCATTCTTGGTGATTACCATCACCAAGACAAGTGGCGGTGACATGGGATGGTGACAAAGACAGCAATAATAACCTGACAAAGGTTCTAATCCTTCTCCACTCCATCCAAAACTAACAAAAACATTTTGCCTTCAGTTATACTTTGTCTCATGTATCCCCATATCTTAAATGAATGGTTACCTCTTGCAGCCAGCTTGACTTTTTTCATATTCTAACTTGCCTCGCAGGAAGTATACTTATGTCTCTGGTAAGTTTTTTTTTTTTTTTTTTTTTTCCGTTCAACAAAAATAGACTGAGGAGGTCTCTGTACTAAATATGCAATGTTAGTACAGTGATCTCCTGCTGTGCTCGTTCGACAGAAGTGAGATTGGTTTCTGTTAGACAAGGACATATACATACAAGCCGAATGTTACATAGTTAGTCTGGTTGAAAAAAGACAAAAGTCCATCCAGTTCAACCATAGACAAAAAAAAAAAGTTATAATCCTATACCCACAGATGATCCAGAGGAAGGCAAAAAACCCAGCAAACCATGATCCAATTTGCTCCTGCAGGGAAAAAAATTCCTTTCTGATCTCCCGAGAGGCAATCGGATATTCCCTGGATCAACTTCACCTATAAATGTTATATCCAGTTATATTCTGTGTATCTAAGAAAGAATCCAGGACTTTTTTTTTTTTTTTTAAAGCAATCCACTGAGCTGGCCAGAACCAACTCTTGAGGGAGTCTATTCCACATTTTCACAGCTCTCACTGTGAAGAAACCTTTCCGTGTTTGGAGATTTAATTTCTTTTCCTCCAGATGTAAAGAGTGCCCCCTTGTCCTCTGTGATGACCTCAGTGTGAATAACTACACCGAGTTCACTATATTATTATACAGGATTTATATAGCACCAACAGTTTGTTCAGCGCTTTACAATATAACGGGAGACAATACAGTTCAATACAAGAGGGTTAGGAGGGCCTGATCCTCGGAGCTTACAATCTAGATGAACCACTGATGTATTATACATGGTGATCATATCCCCCCTTATGTATTATACATGGAGATCATATCCCCCCCTTATGTATTATACATGGAGATCATATCCCCCCTTATGTATTATACATGGAGATCATATCCCCCCTTATGTATTATACATGGAGATCATATCCCCCTTATGTATTATACATGGAGATCATATCCCCCCTTATGTATTATACATGGAGATCATATCCCCCCTTATGTGTTATACATGGTGATCATACCCCCCTTATGTATTATACATGGTGATCATATCCCCCCCCTTATGTATTATACATGGTGATCATATCCCCCCCTTATATATTATACATGGAGATCATATCCCCCTTATGTATTATACATGGAGATCATATCCCCCCCTTATGTATTATACATGAAGATCATATCCCCCCCTTATGTATTATACATGGAGATCATATCCCCCTTATGTATTATACATGGAGATCATATCCCCCCCTTATGTATTATACATGAAGATCATATCCCCCCCTTATGTATTATACATGGTGATCATATCCCCCTTATGTATTATACATGGAGATCATATCCCCCCCTTATGTATTATACATGAAGATCATATCCCCCCTTATGTATTATACATGGAGATCATATCCCCCTTATGTATTATACATGGAGATCATATCCCCCCCCTTATGTATTATACATGGAGATCATATCCCCCTTATGTATTATACATGGAGATCATATCCCCCTTATGTATTATACATGGAGATCATATCCCCCCTTATGTATTATACATGGAGATCATATCCCCCCCCTTATGTATTATACATGGAGATCATATCCCCCCCTTATGTATTATACATGGAGATCATATCCCCCCCTTATGTATTATACATGGAGATCATATCCCCCCTTATGTATTATACATGGAGATCATATCCCCCCTTATGTATTATACATGTACACGGTGATCATATCCCCCCTTATGTATTATACATGGTGATCATATCCCCCCCTTATGTATTATACATGGAGATCATATCCCCCCTTATGTATTATACATGGAGATCACATCCCCCCCTTATGTATTATACACGGTGATCATATCCCCCCTTATGTATTATACACGGAGATCATATCCCCCCTTAATCTTCTCTTCTCAAGAGAGGAGCCGGTTCCTACTGCACTGTCTGATTTCTGATATTTGGCCCATGTGTATGGGGCTATAGAATCAGGTTGTTATGAGCAACAAAATGTGTTTTTGTTCCAGAGACTTTGATCCATTGGCCATTGCACTTGAATCCTTCATCAGAAATATCCTCTGAGTGGTCTGAACACCCCTCGTGCCTTAGTAGACACTAGCCCAAAGCAGAATTGATCTAAGTCATCAGCTGTCATAGGTTTCAGTGCCAATCTTGCTACCATGTGCTTGTAAGGCTGCACATATCCAAGTACCTAACCCCCGGTTCACATATATGTGTGCCGTGTTTTGCGCGGGTACGAGAGCCCATTCATTTGAATGGACTCCCGAGCCCCGGGACACGCAGGGAAGAAGTCCCTGCACTTCTTCTAAAAATGCAGCCCACACAGGAACTGAGGTTCCCAGTACAGTTGCGTTTTCCAGTGCAGGCGGCGTGCCATTAGAAGTAATGGCACCTGCCCACAGGTCTGCATTCCTCTGTGTGGGTGCATGGATTTTTGTGCGGATCCGCAGCAGCACCACCCGCACAGATGTGAACCTAGCCTCAGTCTACACAGAATGTATACCTGGACACATGGGTTTAATAACTAAACTGGATCACTCGGAATCTCCTGCACTTCTGCATAGAAACCAATCAGCTTCCAGGTTTTACTGCTAAAGCTTAATTGAACGAGCCGACGTTAGATGCTGATTGGTTCCCATGCCTAGCTGCACCAGATTCTGGGTGAACCAGCGTTAGTAAATAAACCCCACCATGTTCCATTTGTGAACATTTTCTACATGGTTCAAGTAAAAGTGGAATTCTCCCAATAAATGGATAAACTATTTCCTATCCAGCCATGTGTTGTCGGGTGCAGTGAGGGCTGTATCTTGTAGAAATTGGGCCTTTAATTGCCTTTATGGGATGATGAGCAGTCGGTGGGTTGTACAGCGAAGCTCCAGAACATCTGAAAATAAATGATCTGCTGCTGATGTAGCCCAGTACTGTCCAGCGGTGTGATCATGGAATGAGGTTGTTGGCTGCCATTGATGATCTCATTGGAAAAGTTTCAGTTGCTTGGTTATCATTAGTTTTAATATATCTGAGGTCAGTGACATACATACAAGCATGCAGCCAGCAAAATAAAAAAACGTATAATTTGCATTATTATTATACAGGATTTATATAGCGCCAACAGTTTGCTCAGCGCTTTACAATATAAAGGGAGACCATACAGTTACAACACAATTTGGTACAAGAGGAATCAGAAGGATCTGCTCGTTGGAGCTTACAATCTAGGACATGGGTATCAAACTGTCGGCCAGATGTTGCCAAACTACAAGTCCCATGAGGCATTGCAAGATTGACAGTTACAAGCATGACTCCCAAAGGCAGAGGCATGATGGGCCGCCAGTTTGACACCCCTGATCTAGGAGATACTTGTTTCCGGGTAAAGCTGGCCATACATTATACAATTTTCTTCAATCTCCTTTAGGCTAGGTTCACACCTATGCAGGTTGCATTTGACCTGTTTCTGCCTCGTGGTTTGTGCTGCGATTTTTTTTTTTCAGCTTTTAAAATTTTTCTTGTTGCTAGGCAGATGCAAAACGCATTAAAAAAATGTAGCAAAAACACACTGCATGCTTTTCTGCAGCATTTCCATTGAAGTCTATACAACCAAAAACACAACTTTTTGCCTTCAAAATAGTCCCTGACCCTTTCCAAACACTGCACCGGGTGAAAAACGTGGAGATGTGAACGTGTCCCATAGGAAGTCATGTTAAATGGACTGTACTACGTTTCTGCAAAACACTGCAGAAAACACATACTGTAGGTGTGAGCCTAGAGTAAGATTTACCTTCAGCTATGTAGTGCAAGGACCTGCCTGAATACATACAAATTAAAAGTGATTAGGTTTGACCTCATACTGTATGTATGTATTCTATAGAAGAAAATTGTATAATGTATGGGCAGCCTACGATTTCTGATAGCAAATTAGATATGAGTGACAGCCAAGCTGCTATAATTTTCAGAGAGGGTGGACAATAGCGGCAGCACACAGTCTATTCAGGACAGGTTCACTTTACCTCCTTGGCGCTGACAGTACACAAATATGTGGTCTCTCGGCTGCTGGGCCTTGACACTGAGAGGTCGCATATCTGCATACCCAATGTAAACAAACCTGCTGACAGTGCGCTCCCAACACATTTTCTGCCGTCTCACGGAAAGGTCCCGATCTCTACTTGTGATCAGGAGCTTTCCAATCATGTGACCGTTGTGACAGCCAATCGTGGCAGTTACATGACCCTAAACCCCGCCGTGCCACAAATCCCTTAAAGGGTCAGGAGGCATCGGCTCCAAGGAGTTAAAGCGGAGTTCCACTCACCATGTCAAAAAACAAAAACTAGCTGCTGACTTTTAAAAAACAGCCACTTACCTGTCCCTCAGTCCCGTGGTGTGTCCCCCGCAGCTCGTTTCACCGGCCGTCCTGTATTCCAGGAGGCCGGCATCTTCAGTGTGGGTACCCGGCTGTAATAGCTTGTGGCTTCACAGCCGGGTGCCCACTGCACATGCGTGAGTAGCGCTGCGCTTCATGAATGGTCCTGTAGTCTTCTGGGACCTCTCCCAAAAGACTACAAGGAGGGAGGACACCTTCTGCTTCCGATCGCATAGGCAATTGGACCGGAAGTGGGAGCGGGTACTTGTCAAATTCAGGTACCCACTCCCCAAAGGTGCCAATCCTTAATGGGGAGCAGTCCTTAAAGCAGAACTTCCCCTTTTGGGTGGAGCTTCGCTTTAAGACTTTCTCCATGCACAGACCACAAAAGCTCGGCCTGTGTGTGGCCCTTTGTGTCCAGATTTGTAGAGCCCTAATCATGCTGATCTAGGACAAGACTGCTCAACATTGCCCTTTTCTATAAAGCAGTATGATGGACATGGTTAAATCTGCTGTTTCCTCTCACGGTTGGCTATTTTTTGTTCCTTTTTAGTAAAACAAAGAAAACCTTATTTTTACACTATTTTTGATAAGAATTTGGAATATCTATTTCTTTTCTAATAAACAAGACCTTTAAAAGGACGCTACAAGTGCTACGTGTGCTGGATATTATTTTTAGATGTGATATGTGTTTTTATCAGGTGGACCTGTCTTCAGCAATCAATGCTGTTGATGAGATCATTGTGGCTTACAGTAAGGCTAGCCATACACTTTTAGATTTCTCTCCTTGAACCCTGTGGGCGTAACAAGAGAGATTACTCAATTTCCCTATCCACAATAAATGGATGGAGGAATCCCTCCCGGCTCTTGTATTATGACACTTACAGCACCTTTAGCTGTCTGAGTACCCAAACATGACTACATCTCATTGGATGCAGTAACTATTTGGCCAACAATTTTCCACCCAGTTTTCGCTAACTGGGCCATCCAAAGATCAAATGTAGGTTGATCTGGCTGAAATACGAGTCGTGAATGGCCAGCCTAACATCATTAGAGGATATTGCAGGCAACACTTAGCCTGGGTTCGCACTGATGCAGTGCGGAATTTGCATCGGTTTCCGTGCAAATTCCGCACTGCATCATAATTGCACCCCATTCATGCGAACCGCTGTGGGTGTGTAAGTTAACAACACCCCGAAATTGGTTCGCAATACGCAATGCGATGTGCAGAATCGGATTGAATGGGTGTGAATACCCATGCGATTCAATTCTAGTGCGGGCAAAAAAAGGGTCCTGCATGTTTTTGGTGCGGATGCGGTGCAATTTGAGCCATACAAAATGTATGGCTCAAATCGCACCGCACAGAATTTGCATGTGATTTGCACAGGAATGTGGTGCGGTTTCTGTGCGAATCACATGCGATATGCCGCACCGCAGAAGTGTGAACCCGGGCGTAAATGTGTTCAAGGAGCTGTGTTGGGAAGGAAGATTATTCATTTTGGTTGGCACCTCAACACACTAATCCAATCGTGGGCAGCGCACCTAAAATACAACGTACAGTATATTTGTTGTGTGTGTGTGTCAAACAGAATGGTGCCTGTTTGTCTTTGGCTGTGTTAGTGGACTGCCATGCACTGCCGATGTGTGAGTGTGAGTGGGCCCTAACACTAATCAACAACATGTGCTGTCAACTGTCATTCTCTGAGTATTAGCCCCCACTCACACTGACAATTCAAGTCACATGACAAGTTGCACCCTATGATCAGCAATGGAACCGTTCTAATCAGTGCTATTTTGACAAAGTCAGAGTCACACGGATTTAAAAAGTAGTTCCTGCACTACTCTTGCTGATTTCTGATGTGACTTGGATTGACAACTGTGCATGAAGTTGCACAAATGTCTTACAAGTCGCACAGACATCGCATTCAGTCATATTCAGTGTGAACCGGGGCTTAACGTGATAAGAAGATCAAATTTTATTTTAGAGAAATAAACAAAACAAGGATTTTTCACACAGCAGGCCTAATCCTTCTCTTCCGTGGTCTCCTGCTGGCGCTCCTGCCTCCTCCCTCGTGCCAAGTACTCCCATATCAAACCTCTTGCTATAGAGACACTGGTGCGGGCTTGCTGCTAAGCTGCGCTTTGTGTGTCTACTGACAGCAGAGTGCGGCTCGGCCCTGTCCCCCACTCCCTCCATACTGGCTGTGACTGAAAACAGAGGGAGGCAATGATTCCAACTGCCGCAGAAAGTTTTTTACATGAATGCAGAGAATACACTAAAGTAGAAACTTTTATCCTTTAGAACCACTTGAAGTTGGCAGCATACAGTTGCAAGAAAAAGTATGTGAACCCCTTGGGATTACGTGGAGTTTTGCATGAATTGGGCATAAAATGTGCTCTGAGCGTCATCTAAGTCACAACAATAGAAGAACACAGTCTGCTGAACATAATACTACACAAACATTAGATGTTGCCATGGTTTAATTGCACATAACATGTAAACATTCACAGTGCAGGGAGGAAAAAGTATGTGAACCTTTGGATTTAATAACTGGTTGACCCTCCTTTGGCAGCAATAACCTCAACCAAACGTTTCCTGTAGTTGCAGATCAGACCTGCACAACGATCTGGAGTCATTTTGGACCACTCCTCTTCACAAAACTGTTTCAGTGTAGCAATATACTTGGGATGTCTGGTGTGAATCGCTCTCTTAAGGTCATGCCACAGCATTTCAATCGGGTTGAGGTCAGGACTCTGACTGGGCCACTCCAGAAGGCGTATTCTGTGCTGTTGCAGCCATTGTTTTGTTGAATTACTTGTATGCTTTGGGTCATTGTCCTGTTGCATCACCCATCCTCTGCGGAGCTTCAGTTGGCGGACAGATGGTCGTACGTTTTCCTGCAAAATATAAATCCTGATAAACTCTGGAATTCATTTTCCCATCAATGACAACAATCCGTCCAGGCCCTGAGGCAGCAAAGCAGCCCCAAACCATGATGCTCCCTCCGCCATGTTTTACAGTAGGGATGAGGTTTTGATGTTGGTGTGCTGTGCCTTTTTTTCTCCACACATAGTGTTGTGTGTTCTTCCCAAACAACTCAATCTTGGTTTCATCTGTCCACAGTATATTTTGCCAGTAGTGCTGTGGAACATCCAGGTGCTCTTTTGCAAACTTCAAACGTGCTGCAATATTCTTTTTGGACAGCAATGGCTTCCTCCGTGGTGTCCTCCCATGTACTCCATTCTTGTTTAATGTTTTCCTTATTGTAGATGTGTCAACAAAAATGTTAGCATGTGCCAGAGATTTCTGTAGGTCTTTAGCTGACACTCTGGGATTCTTCTTTACCTCATGCAGCATTCTGCGCTGTGCTCTTGCAGTCATTTTTACAGGACGACCACGCCTAGGGAGAGTAGCAACAGTGCTAAACTTTCTCCATTTGTAGACAGTCTGTCTTACCGTGGACACATGAACATCAAGACTTTTGGAGATACTTTTGTAACCCTCTCCAGCTTCATGCAAGTCAACAATTCTTGATTATGCCCAATTCATGCAAAACTCCACGTAATCCCAAGGGGTTCACATACTTTTTCTTGCAACTGTATGTGAAAAAATATAATCTGACTTGCTGGCATAACCCTCTTTTTAAAATCGAGAATACACGCAGTATATAATCAATAGATAATACAAAAAAATATAGGAAAACAGTTATTAAAGTACCTGTGGGCAGAATAAGTAAGTAAAAAAATAAGTACGATAACGGGGGCGGGGGCTATTAGGACACATGTACACGGGGCGTTTGGAAAACTCTTCTGAACGATGGAAACTGACTGCTGGAAAACGTAGGTTAAAAACGTCAGTTTAGCGGCGTTTATGCGCGTTTGTGTTTAGAAGCGTTTTTAAAAGATAACCTCAGGAGACCTCCCAAAATGCCCAGAATGCACTGAAAAATAGTAAATAATTAACTATTTCAGACATTTTGAGAGGAATAGAGAGAGCAGAAGCAGAGAGAGCAGTATGTGTTGAGATGACCTGTCTTTTCTGGTTGTATTCACTATGGATCCCATCATGAGCAATGTGGTGCGTTCTACCATTTTTTTCTTGGAAACTGGAACTGACTGCGCTGGTGTATTAGATCCATTTGAATACATGGAAAACGTTTTGCATGCATTTCTGATGATGAAAAAAGGCTCTGGACAGCATTTGAATATGGAACAGTTAAAAAACGCTTCTAAACGCAAACGCTTATAAACGCGGTTAACCTCATTTACACGCGTTTTGAAACACCAGTAAAATCTACTCCTGAATGCAAGTTTGGTGCGTTCAAAAAAAACGACTGTAAACTCAACTGCTTGTAAACGACTATGTGTAAATGGACACATAGGAAAACATTAGGGAGAGTTCAGGGGCTGCTGAAAAAAAAACAGTGAACATCTCCTAAACGTCAGATTATCAGCTGCAATGTACATGAGCCCTTATGGTCATGGGTGTTGGATGGGGCAGAGCGCCACATGTATGCTGTCATAAATAGGCTCCAGGAAAAAGTAAATGACTATTCTGATGCAGTCTGCCACTAGCAATAATACAGCAGGGTGGGGGTATAGCAGGGGCGGACTGACAACTCATGGGGCCCCCGGGCAATAGGGGATCAGGGGGCCCCTGTGTCCTTGCCCAAACTCAAAAAAGCCTATGAAAAAGGTACCAGGGGCATCTCATGGGGCCCCCTACTGACCCTGGACCCTCGGGCAGTGCCCAAGTTTCCAAATGGTCAGTCCGCCCCTGGGGTGTAGTCAATAAAGACCTCACTTGAAGTGCATGGTCTGCATCTTTTGAACTCTATGTACTGCAATAGTAAAATTGTTCTTGTATTCTGCTGCCCCCTAATGCTCGTTTTGCAGAATGCATGCCCTATTCAATTCTTTCATTGTTCAAAGACAAATGCCTATAAATGAGACAATCTCAGGAACAGTGTGGTGTCAGAGAACTTTAGGTTCAATAAGGGGGCATAGACGTGCCATAGACTGATGAGTAATATGAATACGTATACAAAAATATATAAACATAAATACAATACAGCAAAGATTAGTGCAACCATTTGACAAACAGATTTTGTATTCCAAAGACAAGGTGATAATAGCTGTGTTTGGAAGGAAGATTATTTTACCAACAATATAGAAAGGGATTCTTTACAGTAAGAGCTGTAAATTTCCATGCCGTATGAGCCAGTAATGGCAAAATCAATGCTGTAAACTAAAAATAGACTGAAAGCTTTTAAAGTTACTAAACCCACAACAGTAAAATCAGTCTGTATATGTAGTAAAGCATGCTTGTTATACTCACTGTGGAACCTAAGGGGTTAATCCTTTGTGTTATGTAAAAGGGGTGTTTGATCCTCCCCTTCTTCCACAGTCCCCAATCCATTTGCTGATAGTACAGGGCCCTAGGAGACACTCTGTGAATGTAGGGTCTGGGGAGACCAGATATAGTGAATGCAGGGTCCGGGGAGACTGGATATAGTAAATGCAGGGTCCGGGGAGACCAGATATAGTGAATGCAGGGTCCGGGAGACCAGATATAGTGAATGCAGGGTCCAGGGGAGACCAGATATAGTGAATGCAGGGTCCGGGGAGACCAGATATAGTGAATGCAGGGTCCGGGGAGAGCGGATATAGTGAATGCAGGGTCCGGGGAGACCAGATATAGTGAATGCAGGGTCCGGGAGACCAGATATAGTGAATGCATGGTCCGCGGAGACCAGATATAGTGAATGCAGGGTTCCGGGAGAGCGATATAGTGAATGCAGGGTCCAGGGAGACCAGATATAGTGAATGCAGGGTCCGGGGAGACCAGATATAGTGAATGCAGGGTCCGGGGAGACCAGATATAGTGAATGCAGGGTCCTGGTAGACCGAATATAGTGAATGCAGGGTCGGGAAGAACAGATATAGTGAATGCAGGGTCCTGAGAGATCGGATATAGTGAATGCAGGGTCCGGGAGACCGGATATAGTTAATGCAGGGTCCGGGAGACCAGATATAGTGAATGCAGGGTCCGGGGAGACCAGATATAGTGAATGCAGGGTCCGAGAGATCGGATATAGTGAATGCAGGGTCCGAGGAGACCGGATATAATTAATGCAGGGTCCGGGGAGACCAGATATAGTGAATGCAGGGTCCGAGAGACCAGATATAGTGAATGCAGGGTCCGGGGAGAACGGATATAGTGAATGCAGGGTCCTGAGAGATCCGGATATAGTGAATGCAGGGTCCGGGGAGACCAGATATAGTCAATGCAGGGTCCGGTGAGACCGGATATAGTGAATGCAGGGGTCCGGGGAGACCAGATATAGTGAATGCAGGGTCCGGGGAGACCAGATATAGTGAATGCAGGGTCCTGGAGACCAGATATAGTGAATGCAGGGACCTGGGAGACCAGATATAGTGAATGCAGGGACCTGGGAGACCAGATATAGTGAATGCAGGGACCTGGGAGACCAGATATAGTAAATGCAGGGTCCTGGGAGATCAGATATAGTGAATGCAGGGTCCTGGGAGACCAGATATAGTGTCAGGGATCGCGGCGTCCTGTCGACCAGTGCATGCGCGCTGGCGAAGGCTCACGCCGGGACACAGGCACCAGGTCCCGGCGAGCCGCGGATGACAGGACGCCGCGCATGCGCAGTGGGAGCCGCGGGCGCGCCTCGGGTGGCCAATGACAGCCCGGGGGTGCGTCCTGGGCGGCCAATGACAGTGCAGGGTGCAATATTTAAAGATGCCCTGCACTGTCAGTAATTGCCGCAAGGTCTATCTGAGTTCCTGAGTCCTGTACCTGTGTTTTTGACCCTGATTGACCCTGACTACGCTGCCTACTCCTGTGTTTGACCCGGATTGTCCTGCCTACTCTGCCTTCTCCTGCGTTTGACCCGGATTGTTCCTGACTACTCTGCCTTCTCCCATCCTGACCCCCGGCTTGTTTGACCTCTCTACGGACTGACTTATCCTGCTGACCCTGCGTGTGACCTGCCGATTCTCCGCCTGCCGATTCTGTACCTCGCCTACCCCACGGGACCACTACTCGTGATCCATCCTGCTAGGTCCTGCCGTCCTCCTCACATCTGGCTCTCCCGGTACCAATACATCCCCGGAGGTTCCCCCTGCCACTGGTGGGCCTGCTCAGAGGTCGTGACCTGGTCCCGGTCTGTTTCAAGTCCATCCCCACCATCAGGGGCCCTGGTGAAAGCACAGACCGGGACTTAGACTCCACGCTTTGGGTAGGTCTGTCAAGTGGGCAGCCAGAGGCACCACCTGGCGGATCATAACATATAGTGAATGCAGGGTCCTGGAGACCGGATATAGTGAATGCAGGGACCGGGGAGACCGGATATAGTGAATGCAGGGTCCGGGGAGAGCGGATATCGTGAATGCATTGTCCGAGGAGACCGGATATAGTGAATGCCGGGTCCGGGGAGACCAGATACAGTGAATGAAGGGTCCGGGGAGACCAGATATAGTGTATGCCGGGTCCGGGGAGACCAGATATAGTGAATGCCGGGTCCGGGGAGACCAGATATAGTGAATGCAGGGTCTGGGGAGACCAGATATAGTGAATGCAGGGTCCGGAGAGACCGGATAGTGAATGCAGGGTCCAGGGAGACCAGATATAGTGAATGCAGGGTCCGGGGAGACCAGATATAGTGAATGCAGGGTCCAGGGAGACCAGATAGTGAATGCAGGGTCCGTGGAGACCGGATATAGTGAATGCAGGGTCCAGGGAGACCGGATATAGTGAATGCAGGGTTCGGGGAGACCAGATATAGTGAATGCAGGGTCCGGGAGACCAGATATAGTGAATGCAGGGTCCAGGGAGACCGGATATAGTGAATGCAGGGTTCGGGGAGACCAGATATAGTGAATGCAGGGTCCGGAGAGACCGGATATAGTGAATGCAGGGTCCAGGGAGACCAGATATAGTGAATGCAGGGTCCAGGGAGACCAGATATAGTGAATGCAGGGTCCAGGGAGACCAGATATAGTGTATGCATGGTCCGGGGTTTAGTAAAACTTTAACTAATGGTATCTACAGTTCTAGTTACTAAAAGATGACTATGAATATTTGGTTTCAGGGAACGGCTGCAAGTATGGAAATTTTTGCCATACTTGATCAGAGTGGTTATTTTGGTTTTTTAATGAAAAAAAAGAAATCCAACCTACGTATTTTACATTGCATGTACGGCCAGAGTTTACACAAACGTTATGAGTGACTTGCCTGTTGGGCATGGGGGGGGGGGGTGTGCAGGAGGTAATGCTTGATATTGTTTTTTTTTTACTCATAATAGTTCCAAAAGCCTTCTTATGACACAGAGGAGGAAATTTACTAAAACTGGAGAGTGCAAAATCTGGTGTAGCTCTGCATAGCAACCAATCAGCTTTCATGTTTCATTGTCAAAGCCTGACTGAACAAGCTGAAGTTACAAGCTGATTGGCTGCCATGCACAGCTGCACCAGATTTTGCACTCTCCAGTTTTAGTAAATCCCCCCCAAGGTGTATTAGAGTCTAGTCAATGGCAAACGATACTGCTGCAAACAGATATTTACCTATGACAGGGATAGTTAATCTATCACTTCTGTGCCCTGAATGGAATTCTCCCGTGTCCCAAGTCAATAAATCTCCATGAAGAAAAAAACTTAGTTTTATTTTCAAATGTTAAAAAGAATATTTTCATATATTTAAATATTACAATAATTTATGGCTTTTCCAATTAAGCTCCAAGCAATGGTTCAAGTTTTCAGTTCTGTTTGTTTGAGAAGTACAATTTTTCCACACAGCCCGGCTCGTACGCCCCCTTCTGGTAATACATAGGCATTGCCATCACTGGCTCTCTTTGGGTCCAGCTGGAGAAGCTGGCCGTTGCTGCGGCTTATAGAACTGTATTCCCACAGCTGATATCGGAGGCTCTTGCCTTGTTTTGCAATCAGGTAGATTTCACCGGTGTCACCTATGCTTGGAGGCAGAGAATTGGGGGGTGAGTGATACAGTCCAGGGATGTCCATGTCAGGCTCAAATGAGCCACTCGGCATCCCAAGGAGAACACCTGAAAGGAAAGTCATAGTGGCCAGTCAATGATTCTGCACCGATGTTTAGCTGATGAACACTTTTGAAATGTGCTTGTGACCAAGTCTAATGTGCTTGGTGGGAAGTGTACTAATACATTGATATCATGCAGAAGTACTAATTGACCAAGTTTTCAAAGCACATGAAGAGCAGGGGGTAGTACATCACTGCAACTATTAAAGCTGAACTCCGAGCACGAAAATGTAATTCAAATATATTCCTCAACAGCAACAAAAGATATCAATCAATCCACTTTGTGTGCACCAAATGCTTTTATAAAACCCAACAATGACCTTGTAGAAGCAGTGATGACATCATCATACTGAGCTGTACATAGCCTGTGCAGACAGCAGAGCTGTGGATGGGACCCATTAGGCCCACCCACTAAAGCAGTGGTTCTCAACCTTTCTAATGCTGCGACCCCTTAATACAGTTCCTCATGTTGTGGTGACCCCCAACCATAAAATTATTTTCGTTGCTACTTCATAACTGTAATTTTGCAGTGAGAGGAGTAGTGCCACATCACTGATGTCAGTGGGAGGAATAGTGTCCCATCGTTGGTGTCAGTGTGGGAGGAATAGTGCCACATCATTGGTGTCAGTGGGAGGAATAGTGCCACATCATTGTGTCAGTGGGAGGAATAGTGCCACATCACTGATGTCAGTGGGAGGAATAGTGCCACATCACTGATGTCAGTGGGAGGAATAGTGTCCCCATCGTTGGTGTCAGTGGAAGGAATAGTGCCCCATCGTTGGTGTCAGTGTGGGAGAAATAGTGCCCCATCATTGGTGTCAGTGGGAGGGGGGGGAATAGTGCCCCATCATTGATACTAGCATGGGGGGGAATTGTGCCCCATCATTGGTGTCAGTGGGGGGGGATAGTGCCCCACCGTTGGTGTCAGTGGGGGGAGGAATAGTGCCCCATCGTTGGTGTCAGTGGGGGGAGAAATAGTGCCCCATCGTTGGTGTCAGTGGGGGGAGGAATAGTTCCCCATCGTTGGTGTCAGTGGGGGGGGGGAGAGGAAATAGTGCCCCATCATTGGTGTCAGTGGGAGGAATAGTGCCCCATCATTGGTATTAGTGACACCAATGATGGGGCACTATTCCTCCCACTGACACCAATGATACTTACCTTGCTGACTCCTGCTCCAGCCTGGGCTCACTCCCTCCCTCTCCCATCTACAGCCAGCAAACCTGGCTGCAGCAGCACCATCTGCACGCTACAGACACTTACCTGTCAACTGTCTTCCTTCTCCGGCCGCTCCCTCGCTCGATCTTCTTTGATCTTCGTGCTGCTGCTCGGCTCCTCCTCTCCCAAGCTCCACTTCCTCACCGGTCATTGGCAGCCTGTGTGCCTCTCCTGAGCTACAGTTCCGGCGGCCAATCACTGGCGAGGAGGCGGAGCTGTTTGAGTGATCCTGGGGATGTGGCCAGATGACAGGGGCGGCATGTCATCCCGCGCACACATCGCGGTCTAGGGAAATGTGGACGTATCTGCATGTGGGCGGACCCGCCTGGAGACTGATAGAGGAGCGGTGTTTTCGGTTCCTAAGACCATCGGAAATACAGTATGTGTTTTCCGATGGTCTTAGGAGACCCCTGTGAAAGGATTGTTCGACCCCCAAAGGGGTCGCGACCCACAAGTTGAGAACCACTGCACTAAAGGCTGCCTGCAGAAAACTACAGGAAGGGGCGGAGACAAGACCAGTCACCCAGCAGAAGGAGAGCAGCAGTGAGCGGTCTTTATGACAGGAAGCTCCTGCACAGAGGCAAAGTCTCACACTGGATTACTGCACAGATCTGGAAGAAATACACAAAGAACACCAAGATTCAAGGAAGAATATACTTCTCTTCTACTGAGATATTTACTTATCCTGGAATTATAAGTCACAAGGAACATATCCACCAATCATGCACCTGATTCACTTTGCTTGTCTTTGATATCCTGCCCACCACTATCTCAGGGAGGACAAATGCTCTGGCAAAATTAAAAAAAAAGTCTATGTTCACCACGTATGGTGCACATCAATCTGTCTGTCAATAGAATAGAGCATTGTTATTGTGGTTACTGTCTGCGCCAGCCTCTGATAATGTGTTCATATTCTTCATACCTGAGATCACAGCCCAGTGTGCCCGGTGTCCATCCCTCTGGCATGGCTCATGATTGAAATCTTCATCATATCTGCAAAAGTGGTTAAGTGTACCATATACATAATGTGGGTGAGCTGTGTTGGGAATCTATATGTGTTTATTATTTATGTTAAAACGAATCTAAAGGTTCATTTTTTTTTAAATAACAAACATGTCTATACCTACCTGCCGTGTGCAGTGCTTTTGCACAGAGCAGCCCGGATCCTCCTCTTCATCGGGTACCCCACCGGCACTCCTTTCTGTTGGGTGTCTCCACAGCAAGCAGCTTGCTATGGAGGCACCTGAGCAGGCTGTTCCCAAGCCGCTGCTCTGCGTTTCTCCATTCTCACATGGAGCCGCGTCTTGGCCTCACCTCCTCTCCTCATTGGCTGACTGGGTGTGATTGACAGCAGCGGGAGCTGTCTCAGCCAATGAGGAGGCAGAGACCCACCACAGCCTAGGCTGTTGTGCACTGCGATGGATCACGATGAGGCTCAGGTAAGTAATGAGGGGGCTGAGGGCACTGCAGCACACAGGAGGTTTTCACCATTCCTGCATAGAATACATGAAGCTAAAAAACCTTCAGCCTTTACAACCACTTTAACCATTTGCTGCCCGCCAACACTACATTTACTGCTGAAGGTTGGCTTCCCCAAGTACAGCGGTGAACTCATACGTCGCAGTGCTGTCCCCCTGCGCCATGCAGCATCGTGATCATCTTACCACACTGATCACAGTGCTTGGTGCCCAGCCACTATGAGCGGCTGGGGTTTCATGTGATCGCTCTGACCAATCAAAGAGATCACATGATAACATTATCATGAATGGCTTTCATTCATGGCAGCTTGCTTACTATTGTGATGCTGTGATTGGCCCACAGCTCTCACATGGTACCTGGGCCAATCACAGCACCCTGAACTGTGTGATTAGTTGTAGCCAATCACAGCATCACAATAGTAAGCAAGCTGTCCTGAATCAATGCTATTCTTCACTGTTAAAACAACCATCACTGTTATAAGCAATCACAGTGTAAAAAAAAATCCCTGATCACTCCCCCCCCCCTTCCCCAGAGTAGTACAGTGTTACTATGGTGACAATGAACTACTCTGATTGTGATGCTGTAAACTGTTTCTCCTCTGTCCTTAGCAAAAGTAGCTATTCACCTTGCAGTGCAGGCTCAGCCCCAATAAAAGAGAATTTTTTTATCTGCCAGGAGTTGAGATTTAAAACAGAAAATATATAAAGAATACATCTAACACATAATACAAGAAATGTAAGTTATTAATGCGTAAAAATGGGCAAAATAAGTAAATTACAAGAGAATGAGGTGCAGGGCTTTCGTATTTTTTTTACAGAATTATGATGGTCCTGGGGGCTGAATGGGGGTGGAGCACCAACCTTGTGTATGATGCCATGGGCAGGTGTCAGGAAAAGTAAATGGAAAATATGATGCAGAATGTCCCTAAACATAACACAGCAGGGCGGGCAGAGGAAATAAACAGAGTTTGATGAAGTGCCCGATCCATAGCTGTAAATGGTAAGATCGATCTTCTGTTCTGCTGCCATCACATGGTCATTAAGCAGAATGCATGCCCTAGTCAAGCCATTGAGAGCAAGTTCACAGCAGATTTTGACACCTTCTATCCATTGTTATTTCTTTTCCATATTCAGCCATTGTCATTATTGAAGTGGATCTGACATTATGGGGTTTATTTACTAAAGCTGGAGAGTCCAAAATCAGACTCCCTTCTGCATAGAAACCAATCAGCTTCTAACCTCAGCTTGTTCAATGAAGCTTTGGCAATGAAACCTGGAAGCTGATTGGTTTCTATGCAGAAGGGAGTCTGATTTTGGACTCTCCAGCTTTAGTAAATAAACCCCCATATGTCTCTGGTTAAAACAAACTTATAGAAATTGCTTTAGTATAACTAAGCTGTATAATTGAATCCACGGCTGTTTTCTTAGAGAACAAGTGCCGGAACTCCGCCTTTCTGAGTCACCCCTTGTCTCCGCCCCTACCCACCTCCGAGCATCGTTCCTTGGTTCCAGCCCCTACCCATCTCCCAGTTCAGCCCTTCTGGAGAACACAGAACCAAGGATTATTGTATAATGATAACAAGAAAAACCCCTGCAGACAGCAACAATAGATCCCCCACAACAATAGACCCTAAACAACAATAGATCTCCACAGAAACATTAGATTCCCCCAGCAACAATGGACCAACTGCAACAAATACCCCCCCAGCAACAATAGACCCCCGGCAGCAGCAGCATATATCTGGGCAGCCAGCATCAATACACCCTCCAGCAGCCAACAATAGATATCTATCTCAACAGTAGATCCCTCCCACCCAGCAAGAACTGAACATCCCTCAGCAACAATAGATTCCCCACCAGTAACAATAGACCTCCCCAGCAACAATAGACTCCCTCCACAAAAATAGATTCCCTCCAGCAACAATATATCCCCAAGCAGCCAGCATCAATAGACCCTCCAGCAGCCAACATCAACAGACCCTCCAGCAGCCAACAACAATAGATACCTATCTCAACAGTAGATCCCTCCAGCAAGAACTGAACTTCCCCAGCAAAAATAGGTACCGAACCAGTAACAACAGACCTCCCCAGCAACAACAGACTCCTCCACAAAAATAGATCCCCTCCAGAAACAATAATCCCCCAGCAGCCAACATCAATAGACCCTCCAGCAGCCAACAACAATAGATACCTAACTCAACAGTAGATCCCTCCCAGCATAAACTGAACCTCCCCAGCAACAATAGATCCCCCACCAATAACAACAGACCTCCCCAGCAACAACAGACTCCTCCACAAAAAAATAGATCCCCCTCCAGCAACAATATATCCCCCAGCAGCCAGCATCAATAGACCCTCCAACAGCCAACAACAATAGATACCTATCTCAAGAGTAGATCCCTCCCCAGCAACAATAGATCCCCCACCAGTAACAATAGACCTCCCCAGCAACAATAGACTCCTCCACAAAAATAGATCCCCTCCAGAAACAATAATCCCCCAGCAGCCAACATCAATAGACCCTCCAGCAGCCAACAACAATAGATACCTATCTCAACAGTAGATCCCTCACAGCAAGAACTGAACCTCCCCAGCAACAATAGATCCCCCACCAATAACAATAGACCTCCCCAGCAACAACAGACTCCTCCACAAAAATAGATCTCCTCCAGCAACAATAGATCCCCCAGCAGCCAGCATCAAGAGACCCTCCAACAGCCAACAACAATAGATACCTATCTCAAGAGTAGATCCCTCCCCAGCAACAATAGATCCCCCACCAGTAACAATAGACCTCCCCAGCAACAATAGACTCCTGCACAAAAATATATCCCCTCCAGCAACAATATATCCCCCAGCAGCCAGCATCAAAAGACCCTTCAGCAGCCAACAACAATAGATACCTATCTCAACAGTAGATCCCTCCCAGCAAGAACTGAACTTCCCCAGCAACAATAGATCCCCAACCAGTAACAATAAACCTCAGCAGCAACAACAGACTCTTCCACAAAAATAGATCCCCTCCAGCAACAATATATCCCTCAGCAGCCAGCATCAACAGACCCCCCAGCACCCCTTTCCATTACATACATTCAGTGCTGGAGGTTTCTGAACTTCATTTCCCCACATTCCCGCTGAAAAAAAAAGCCCTGCTTCAATCTAACTGGTGTCCGTCATGACATTTCTACGAAATGCAATCCTGATGCTTTGATGCTGCAGACTTTATGTATACAGGAGGGAAAAATGATTATTATTATTATTATTATACAGTATTTATAAAGCGCCAATAGTTCGCTCAGCGCTGTACATTACAAAGGGGGACAGAACATGTGACAGAACAATAAAAATACAATGCAATGCAAAACATGAGGGATCGAGGGCCCTGCTCTTTCGAGCTTACAATCTAGGAGGGAGGGGATGGTGGTACAGGAGGAGATAGCTGTGGGGGATGGGATGGTAGGAAGAGTGGAGGAGGTCGGCAAGTTAGCAGGGGGTGGGGTAGGCTTCCCTGAAGAGATGGGTTTTCAGGGTGCGCCTAAAGGAGAGGAGAGTAGGTGATAATCTGATGGGTTGGGGCAGGGAGTTCCAGAGGATGGGTTACACCCTGGAAAAGTCCTGGAGGCGGGCATGGGAGGAGGAGACCAGGGAACTAGAGAGAAGGAGGTCTTGTGAGGAGCGGAGTGTGCATGTTGGGTGGTACTTGGATATTAGGTCAGTGATGTAGTTCGGGGCAGTATGGTGGACAGCTTTGTACGTCAGCGTTAGGATTTTGAATTTGATCCGTTGCGCAATCGGAAGCCAGTGGAGGGATTGGCAGAGGGGGGTGGCGGAGATGGAGCGGTTGGAAAGGTGAATGAGTCTGGCAGCCGTATTCAGGATGGACTGAAGCGGGGATAGCCTGTGGCGAGGCAGGCCAGTGAGGAGGGAGTTGCAGTAGTCGAGTCGTGATATGATGAGGGAGTGGATGAGCTGTTTAGTGGTTTCTGGGGTTAGGAACGTGCGGATTTTGGCGATGTTGCGGAGGTGGAATCTGCACGAGGTTGTTAAAGAGTGGACTTGGGGCTGGAAGGATAGGTTGGAGTCCAGAATGACACCAAGTACTCTGGCCTGCGGGGCGGGTTTGATGGTGGCGTTGTTGGATGTGATGGAGAAGTCAATGGGGGGGGGGGGGGGGGAAGACAAGAAACTCGGTCTTGGAGAGGTTCAGTTTTAGGAAGTGGAGTGACATCCAGTCAGATATGTAGCTCAGCAGGTGTGTGATTCGGGCGGAGACCGAGGGGGTGAGGTGGGGGGTTGAGAGATAGATTTGTGTGTCGTCGGCATATAGGTGGTAGTTGAAGCCGTGAGAGTCTATGAGTGTAAAATAGTCCCCAGTCACAAGTGTTCACAAATCAGAGTACAGGAGATCCCATACAAGCATCCTATGGAGTTGTTTGGGCGATGAGGAGACCTATGCTGAAACGAGTGTGAACGTTGGGAAAGGATACGGAACAAGTACAGGCAGACCAGCCGTTAGGTGATTGAGGATTCGCTCTCTGTTGTCTCCATCCATCCCACCACTGAGCAGCTCACTTTGACAGCAGAACACCAGCTCTGCCAGAGAGGCCATATTAGCAGCTGAAATAACAAGTTTTATTCACACGTGAAATGACAGCCTCCAGGAACACAGGAATGTGAGCTGTTCATCATTCTATACGGGGTATAAAGGACAGTGAGGGTGAAGATTACTGCAAGCAGCCATCACCAGCATTTCTCCTCCATTGCAGTGTAGACTGGAGAGGAGAAGGGCTCCTCTGATGAATTGTTCATGACACAATGCTGGTTTCTATATTCTGTTTTTCATCAGCAATTCAAATGATCTGCAACATAAGTGCCCGCCAGCAGGCATCATCAGTTCCATCATTTACCCAATGGGGCTCTCCTATCTGCCATCCAAATCTCTGCTGCAGATCACAAAAAAAAAAAAACTCTTGCAAATATTAAAGTGGTTGTAAACCCTCACACATACCCAGTGAAGTGACTGGCCTCAGGTCATACTCAGAGATGAAACAAATCCTCCTACATAAGTTGTACCTGTTTATCTGCAGTATTCTCTTCTCTACAGGTGTTCAAAGTCCAGAATTTACACAGCTTTTCTGAGATTTCAGAAAGCAGGGGACAGGGAGCTGAAGTTACACTCAGGGAGGAGAGCTGAAAGCTGATTTGAGGGAAGGGGCACACTCCCCATCACACAGCACACAGGAACAGAGCTGAGGTTGTAATCACAGGCTATGTGGGGTTGTCAGTATCCTGTTGATGGGTGTTGGGGGGGGGGGTCTGCCTGGAATGGGTGGGGGTGTGGGGGGGGGGGGGGGGGTGTTGTTGTCAGTGCACTTTTGGGGGTGTATAACCCGAGGCCAGTCACAGGGAAGAAACAAATCCTCCTACATAAGTTGTACATGTTTATCTGCAGTATTCTCTTCTCGACAGGTGTTCAAAGTCCAGAATTTACACAGCTTTTCTGAACTTTCAGTAAGCAGGGGACAGGGAGCTGAAGTTACACTCTACAGATCTCAGGAAGAGAGAGAGAGGAGATTTGAGGGAAGGGGCACATTCCCCTTTACACAGCACACAGGAACAGAGCTGAGGTTGTATTCACAGGCTATGTGGGGTTGTCAGTATCCTGTTAATGGGTGTTGGGGGGGGGGTGCCTGCCTGGAATGGGTGGGGGTTGTTGTCAATGCACTTTTTGGCCCCGTGAGGCCCGTTGTTTTTGTATGTATTGTTTTAAATGCAAAATCAATAAACAGAAATTCTTTTTTAAAAAAATCACAGGCTGTGTGCTTGAGCTCCCTCTAATATCACCTTTTTATCTCTTAGTGTCAGGAAAACTTGTCAGAAGTGACTCAAGCAGATAACAAAGGCAGGAGGCAGACAGAAATTACACTTAATGCTCTAGATTGAGGCAAGTACACACTATAGAGGAATATACTTTGTTCATATTTCATATCTGAGGTTTAGAACCACTTTAACCCTTTCTTAAAGAGATCCTGTCACAAGACCTGAGGTACATGATAGCACAATATCTAATGACATGGATTTCCGATAATGTAACACCACATCTTACAATGTATGGGATAGAAGATGTAGCCATACTTTGTGAGGATATAAGAAATCTTGTAAGGCTGCATCTACTTTCCATCGAACCACCATACTAGCTGAACGTGGCCACCACCACAGATGGAAAAATCTTCCACAGATCTGTCAGACTGCAGCTCAGGTAGGAAATGTATAGACAGCGTGGTATGCTCGTGTTTGGGAATTCCTATCATACAGTAGCAGCAGAGTGGAGTGTAAATGTCTCTGGAGTACACACCTACCTGAGTACACCTGAGTACACACCTACCTGAGTACACACCTACCTGAGACACACCTGAGAACACACCTACCTGAGAACATTTCTCCAAGGGTGGTATATCCTTTAGAGATGGCTGTTTCTACAATTCGGTCCAACGTGATTTCCTTAGTATTGTCTAACAGCCCCCCTGCCATCCACAGGGCAACCAGACCACACCTATAGGACGAAGAGAACGATAGCAGACATGAACAGCAAAATCTAAATACAGAAAACACCGAAGAAAGAAAATTTAGGAACATAGTGTGAACAGATAAACAGAAAGCCTGCTCCACCATGAAGGGGTATATAGAGCAATAACAAAGTGGCTCAGTGATGGTTAGCACTTTTGCAACACCAAGGTACCAAATTCAGTGGCACAGCTTCCATCAAACACTGGCTCTAGGCTATCGGGTTTATTTACTAAAGCTGGAGAGTCCAAAATCAGACTCACTTCTGCATAGAAACCAATCAGCTTCCAGGTTTCATTGCCAAAGCTTCATTGAACAAGCTGAGGTTAGAAGCTGATTGGTTTCTATGCAGAAGGGAGTCTGATTTTGGACTCTCCAGCTTTAGTAAATAAACCCCTATGTGTCTGTATGTCTTTTTCTGTAGCGACAATAGACTCCTAGCTCCCTAAGAACTGAACTCCAGGCAGATATAAAAACGAATGCAGCTCTGTAATCATTTAACACATTTTAATGTAAGTATTGAAAGTAGTGAACTTGATCTGGTATCAGTGTCTTTCAGTCTACTGTACAGCAGAGCTCAAAGAGGGAGAGAGAGAAGCAGTATAAGGAGCCAATCGTGAGTGGAAGAGTAGAAGGAGCGTGCTGATAGGAGGAGAGAGCAAAGTGACAGAGAGATGAACTCATCAGTCTGTTGCTTCTCCTTTTACTGACCAGTCACAGAGTGGGGGTGGGGAAGAGACATGAAAGTGGAATTGCAGCAACTCCCCTTCCATGTCAGGCAGGGCCCCCGCATATGTATTTCATCTGTGTGTTTAGCTGTAGGTCAGCTTCAACCGCTTCCCGACCGCCCTATAGCAGAACTACTGCTACAGGGCAACAGGGCTGCTGCGCGAAATCATGTATATATACGTGATATTGTATTGCTGGGAAGGGGGCGCACGTGAGACCTACCGCGCTGCCATTGGCGGCTACAGCTGTCGATCACCGGGTCCCTGCTGGAAATTCCCTACTGGCACCTGGCGATCGTTGAGTATCCCTGATGGGGGGGAGAGGTCTGCATGTAAATAATACAGATCTCTCCCCTGTTAGCTATAGCATGCTGCTTTGTATTTCTCTGCATAGCAGAGCAATACAAAACAGCATGCCTTCCTAGTAAAACACAGCACACAGTTAACTCATGATCACCCCAGATGTTAACCCCTTCCTCCTCAGTGTCATTACTACAGTGTCAGTGCTTTTTATTAGCACTGATCACTGTATTAATGTCACTGGTGATGTCAGTGACAGTTAATCAGTCCCCCCGCCCCCAGTGTCTTCACCAAGGCTGGTTTCAATGGCCATCTTCTCTCCCTGGTGCCGGCATATTCAGTGTGGGCACCTGGCTGTGACAGCTTGGGTGCCCTTTGTGTATGCACGAGCAGCGCTGCGCTTTGTGAATGGCCCTGAAGTGTTTTTGGACCTGTCATGTGTCCCAGAAGACTACGGAGAGGGAGAGACGACGACAACTTCCACTTTCAATCGCCTAGGTGATCGCAGCAGAAGTGGGAGCGGGTACTTGTTAAATTCGGGTACCTGCTCCCCAAAGGTGCCAATCCTTAATGGGGAGCGGGGGGACAAAGTCTTAAAGCGGAACTTCCCCTTTTGGGTGGAGCGCCGCTTTAATGGCGGCCTCAGACAGCAATAAAAAAGGTCTAATCCATCTCCACTCTATCCAAAACAGAAAAAAAAAATGCCATTAGTTATACTTTAACCCTTTGAGGACCGTAAGATTTTGGAACGCCAAAAGAATTAATTTTTTGATTTTTAAAGTTCGTACACTTCAGTTGCTGTAACTAAGCCATTTCATGAAATAATTGGCAAAAAGCTAGATCCATTTGTTGTTTGTTGATAAGAACTAATATTTTGACTCAAACCAAAAAAAAAAGTTTTAAGAGTTTTAAGTTCTTAATCAGATGATACACGCAATTAAAAACATGGGACAAATACGTCCCTTGGTCCTCACAGGGTTAAGGGCTGTAGTACAAACTTTTTAATGGGAGGTTAGTTATAGTTTTACTTGAATAAATCAGAAGCAATATGTATAGCTAGTCAGTGTTTATTTTCTTGTGTTAATGTCCATATTAGTCAGGCAAACCATGTGCTTACACTTACTGTGGTCCCTCCTGTATCAAGGATGGTATGTGTTTTTTATACAAAAGCCATTTCAATGCTCCACTGAACCTAGAGAAAGAAAGACATATGAATCACATTGAAAATGACTGGATGATGCCATCTCTGGAAGTTTTTTGGCCAGACTTCGAACGATACGTAAATGGCCTACACCTATAGCAAGGGCATGATTTAACTTTGGTCAAAGCTGAGTATGTTTTTATCTACAGGTCACACTTACCTGCATAGGCAGCTTATGATAAAGGTGAACTAGCTCTTTAACGGGGAAATAAAACCCTGATGACTGTCAGTGTGCACTGATACTGTCAGTTGGCTAAGATACAAAAGTTCATTTACATGTGTTTGTTGTTTCATTTCATGATAACTATCTCAATAAAATGCTATTTTACTATGTGGTAAGTTCAAGTGATCAGTGCGATAAAGCTTTTAGTCCCACTCCCGCTTGCGTGGTTTATTATTCTTTGCGCAACAAAGCACGTCATTGTGAACCTAGCCTATAAAGGAAAGAAATGTGATTGTAAAATTACCAAACAATGTACTGTGTATTAAAAGAGAAGTTTTTTGCGCCTTACTTCTTTTCTGGGTCACAGGAGTGCACTTTTGCTCTCCTGTGACCCAGAGTCAACTTACAGTGGGCTATATGTAAAGAAACAAAGAGAGGGCGCACAGGCCTAGTGCATTACCTAAAAATGAGATGTATTGAATAAAAAGTGGTATGCTCACAAAGGAATAAAATCAAAGGCACATCACAAGTTAGACAGCATGGTCCAATCTCCCTAGATGGTAGCTATTAGGGGACTATAGTCCTCCAAAATGACTGACGCGTTTCAAGGGAGAACCTCTTCCTCACAGCCCTATAGCCCACTGTCATCAGCTGACGTCACAGAGCTGCTTCAGGCTTTGGAAGGATCCCACCCATGTTGTCAGGATCCACCCAGCTGCCTGATTTTACAGCTGGCTCTGGTTCTCAACATGCAGTTAAGAGTCAAAGCCAGCTGTGCCTGCCCCTTCCACAGTGAGCTCTGAAGGGGCAGAGCTAAGATTACTGCTCTCCGCTCCCAGCTGAAGGAGAACTGAGCAATCAGCGGTCAACAGGGGACAGCTGCAGCATTGATCAGACCGGTCAGAGCATGGAGGTGACTATGTATGCAGGGGCGGACTGACCATTCGAGCACTCAGGCACTGCCCGAGAGCCTGGGGTCAGTAGGGGGCCCTATGAAATGCACCTGTTACCTTTTATAGGCTTTTTTTTGTGTGGTTTGAGTGTGGACAAGGACACAGGGGCCCCATGATCCCCTATTGTCTGGGGGCCCCATGAGTTCTCAGTCCGCCACATATGTATGTTTGTTTTCTTACATAGCCCAAAATACACCTTTAAGCACACTGCTAAGCTTTAGTGAACTCTTTTCTGCCCACAACTAGATGAACTCACCTATCTTGCTGCTTCTTGATAATCTTCTTTAACTCTTCAAATCCTCCAACTGAGGGGTCACTGTGCTCTGCCACCTTCTTATAGAACTTGCTCTTCTCCAGCACTGGAGGTGGAAGGCCATGGGCTGGTGTTGGTAACATTGGTGGCGGGGGTGGTGGAGGTACTGGGATAGCACTAGCAGCAGCATATTCTCCATCCTCCTCAGGCATGGGTCCTAAGGGATGTCGTTATAAAATTAAGTACATTTAATATCATTCCAATACTTATTTTACATTTCTTATTTATGATGCACATTTAACTAGCTCCAGTCATCTACAGTTGTGACCAAAATTATTCAACCCCCACTGAAATTGAGTGTTTTGGCCAGTTTGACATTGCTTTTGATCATTCAGTCATCTTGCTTACATTTACATTAAAGAGGCACTTGTAGGTCAGACAAATATAACATAACAGTTATAATGAAATAACCACAAATGTCTTTTCTGTGCTCACAGCATTATCAGTTTTATTCAACCCCCAAGTGACATTCAATCTTAGTACTTAGTACAGCATCCTTTTACAGTTATAACAGCTTTTAAACGTGAAGCATAGCTTGACACAAGTGTCTTGCAGCGATCTACGGGTATCTTCGCCCATTCTTCATGGGCAAAGGCCTCCAGTTCAGTCACATTCTTAGGCTTGCGCACTGCAACTGCTTTCTTTAAGTCCCACCAGAGGTTCTCAATCGGATTTAAGTCTGGTGACTGCGATGGCCACTCCAAAATGTTCCAGCCTTTCCTCTGCAACCATGCTCTAGTGGACTTGGAGGTATGCTTGGGATCATTGTCCTGTTGAAAGGTCCAACGTCTCCCAAGCCTCAGGTGTGTGACGGACTGCATCACGTTTCCATCCAATATCTCCTGGTACTGAAGAGAATTCATGGTACCTTGCACACGCTGAAGCTTCCCTGTACCTGCAGAAGCAAAACAGCCCCAAAGCATGATTGACCCTCCACCATGCTTCACAGTAGGCAAGGTTTCTTTTCATCATAGGCCTTGTTCTTCCTCCTCCAAACATAGCGTTGATCCATGGGCCCAAACAGTTCTAATTTGTTTTCATCAGTCCACAGAACACTATCCCACAACTTTTGTGGTTTGTCCACATGGCTTTTGGCATACTGCAGTCGACTCTTCTTATTCTTTGGAGACAGCAAGGGGGTACGCCTGGGAGTTCTGGCACGGAGGCCTTCATTACGCAGTGTGCGTCTTATTGTCTGGGCTGAAACTTCTGTACCCACATCTGACAAATCTTTTCTCAGTTCCTCAGCAGTCACACGGGGACTTCTCTCCACTCTACGCTTCAGGTAGCGCACAGCAGTCGAAGTCAGCATCTTCTTTCTGCCACGACCAGGTAGCGTTTCAACAGTGCCCTTTGCCTTGAATTTGCGAATGATGCTTCCTAAGGTGTCTCTTGGTATGTTTAACATCTTTGCAATCTTCTTATAGCCATTGCCCTTCCTGTGAAGAGAAATCACCTCTTCTCTTGTCTTCCTGGACCATTCTCTTGCCTTCACCATGTTTGTAACCACACCAGTAAATGTCTAGAAGGAGCTGAGTATCACAGTCATTTTAAAGCTGCCTAATTGGTGCTTATTATGCTTGATTGCTGCTCGGGTGACATCCACAGGTGTTTTCAATACCTGATGGAAAGCACCTGTATGAACCTCTGTTCTTCAGAGTGGTAGTCTTTAAGGGGTTGAATAATTGTGGCAATGAAGAAACCACATAAGAACCATTTACTACTGTATTACATAAACAATTGATGTCATTTTAGTTGCATTTGGGTAGTTACAACGTCCTTGTAGGATTTGATTCTGAATACAATTCCAAATGTACACTATAGTCCCTAAACCCCTTTACAGCATTGGGGGTTGAATAATTTTGGTCACAACTGTATTTCCATCACACATATGCAACACCTGCCCCAGCTTGCATACACAACTAAGTACTAGTAATACTAATTAGTGTTTTTTATTTTCTTTATTTCAGAAAAATCACCAAAAAAGTTACACATTTTCCATACAACTCCAAAGCACCGTCATCTGAGCTGGTATAGGTACAATGTCATGTCTATATCATTTATGTCATTATGTCTAGAAGACTTGACTGTACAAATGTAATATAATAAATGGAAAAAGTTTTGCATGTGTGAGGAGTCCAGTATTTTCACTTAAACAAGAGAAACTGGAAGGGTGGGGAGAAAAGAAGACAGGAAAGGGAGGGGTGTGGAAGAGAGGACATTATGTCTATTTGGAGGGGGGTGGGGTGGAAATGGTTGGGTAATGGGGAATTGCAAAAGGAAGACACAAAGGGTGGGGAGATGCAATAAAGCCAGCCATAGATGGGGCGATTTTCTTTCCTGAAACCATGGGTTTCAGAAAATAAAATCACTAGATTCCCCCATCAACACAGTCAGCTGTTGTGTTCTTCTGGTGGGGGGAGCCGTCCTGGTCAGGAGAACACACAGTGATTACTGCTAGTAGCTATAGCCACTGGCAATAATCGCATGAAAAATCCGACAGGCTGGTTGTGCCTAAGTTGATCAATCGACCAACTTGGGTACAATCAGCCTGCCCATACACGGTCGAATCTTGGTTGGTCCCTGCTGAACCAGCTGAGATTCGAACTGTCTATGGTCTGCTTCTGAGAGTAGCTTTACAAGTGTATTTTAAAGTCATAGGAAAGCCATAGAAGGCCTATAGTAATGCCCTAACCAGCAAATTTGGGAAAAATTTTCTTCCCTTAACCACTTGCCTACTGAGCACTTTTATCCCATTCCTGCCCAGGCCAGTTTTCAGCTTTCAGTGCTGTCGCATTTTGAATGGCAGTTGTGCAGTCATGCAACATTGTACCCACACTAAATTTGTAAAATTATTTTAGACAAATATAGCTTTCTTTTGGCAGTATTTAATCACCACTGGGGTTTTTATTTTTTGTTAAACAAACAAAAAATGACCAAAAATTTGGGAAAAAAGAAAAGTTTTTCTTAGTTTCTGTTATAAAAGTTTTGTAAATAAGTGATTTTTCTCCTTTGCCTATGTGCGCTGAGGAGGCTGCACTAATGGGCACTGATGAGGAAGCTGCACTGATATGCAGCACTGACAGGAATCACTGAGGCACTGAAAGCCAGCACAGATGGGCACTATTGGCCGCACTGATGGGGCTAGACTGATGATCAGTGTAGATGTCCCCCTGAGAAATGACGCTTAACGGCTCTCCTCTCCTCATGTGCTGTCAGCATGAGGAGAGAACTGCTTATAACTGGCATTTCCTATTTACACTGTGATCAGCTGTGATTGGACACAGCTGGTCACATGGTAAAAAAAAAGCTCTGATTGGCCCTTTTCCTGGACATGTGATCAGCTGTGTCCTAAGGACACAGCAGTCACAGTTCAAGCTCGGAGGGTGCCCCATGGGGCACAGTTTTGGAAGGACATCCATGGCTGCCCTCCCACACGGATGCACTGAAAGCCAGCACAGATAGGCACTATTGGCCGCACTGATGGGGCTAGACTGATCATCAGGGCACTAATGATCAGTGTAGATGTCCCTGAGAAATGCCGCTTAACAGCTCTCCTCACGTACTGTCAGTGTGAGGAAAGGACTGTCTATAACTGGCATTTCCTATTTACACTGTAATCAGCTGTGATTGGACACAGCTGGTCACATGGTAAAAAAAAGCTCTGATTGGCCCTTTACCTGGACATGTGATAAGCTGTGTCCTAAGGACACAGTGGTCACAGATCAAGCAAGGAGGGCACCCCAGGGGGTGCAATTTTGGAAGGACATCCATGGGCGCCCTCCCAGAACTAGCCGACCGCACTGTAGCCATCTTTTGGCTATAGCGCGGTCGGGGAAGTGGTTAACGATTATTAATGCCAGGGTTGGGGCCAGCGAGAGTCAGCATAAGTTTATACACGGGGAAATGAAGGTGATTCATGGAAAAAAGATGTTTCAATATTTTTCCTCTCTGTTGTATAGACAGGTTGTAACCTTTTCAACACAGAGAAACCCTTCAAAATAACTTTCTGGTCTCAGGGAACCCCTGCTAAAAATTCCTGTAACTACAACTCATGATACATTAGTGTGATGGTCAGTGGAAAGAATGCTCCTTATGTTTGTGATCATTGGGAAGAATTACCCCCTTACAGATAGCTAACAATGTCTATGGTGTCAGAGGGAACTTATCTTGCAGCGGAAATTTCTCATTACTCAGAGGAACCCTTGACGTAACTTTCCGGTCTCAGGGAACCCCTGCTAAAAATGGCTTTATCTACAACTCATGATACATTAGTGTGATGGTCAGTGAAAAGAATGCTCCTTACACTTGTGGTCATTGGGAAGAATTACCTCCCCACAGATTGCTAAAAAGATCAATGGTGGTAGTGGGAACTTACCTGAGAGGCAAAAATTGCTCACTGCTCAAGGAACCCCTGGCAACCTCTGGAGGAACCCTAGTTGAGAAACCCTGCCCTAGAGGAACCCTAGGATTCCATGAAACCCTGTTCTTCCATTGTCTTCATTTCATGAATTTTAGCAAACCCTAGGTTTAGGGACAGGGTTCCAGTTTGCAATTACATAGTTAGAATACATGCATGCAGTGTGGGGACATGGTTATCCAGCGCCCAGGGCAAAGATGCCACAATTCGCCCTTCTTTCATGACATGCAAACTTAGAGGATCCTATGCCCAGCAGTAACTTGTCAAAATCACTCTGCAGCTCCTGATCTGTCAATCAGATTTTGCATTGACCTGAAAGTGTGCAGTTTTTTTCCAACGCAGTCCTATTGCAAGAGGCAGAAAAGAGGGGGAGAGAGAACACAGCCCGCACCACTTCCCAGCTTTCTCCCAGGGCTGGGCTGACAGGAGTAATGATGCCGCTGTCACTACTCCTGTCAGCCTTGTAATATAAAGAAGGTGACCCCATCCCTACAGTAAACCATTGAACCCAGGGCAGCCGCCTATCCCTTGTCCTGGCCCTTCACACTCAGCAGATGAACAATGTGGGACTATTTGTATAGTTTTCAGTGGAATCTTCATAATATGAAGAAATCAACCAAATGGATCTGACCCAATTTTAAACAAATGCGAGCTGAAGGATTACTTTGCAAACTTTGCAGTACAAAATTGATGGCTCACAGAGCAGTCCCAGAAAATGTGGCGCATAGTCCT